TACGTTTTAAACGTAAAAACATACGTGTGGCAGCAATCATACCCCATAACCTAAAAATAACCCTTAAATTATGAACGTTGCGTAAATAATACTGAAATGTTCAAGGCTCTCTTTAAATTTTTACAAAACATTACAGCTTGCCAAAGTTATTCAATATTTAATCGGTCACCAAATGTTCGAATAAAAAGTAACATTAGTAAGTAATTCAATGTAACGTTCTCTCAACAGCTTGCTGCTGTGGCTGACTTTGCGCTGAACTGACCATTTAGGATAAGCCTTTAGTCACCTCTGGCCGTGGTAAAGCGATATTTTTCGCACATTTTCACCAACATGACAACAATTATTCAGATCGCTGCGTGAGTATCTAATTAAATGTTATTTATAGGCAGTTAACTGTGAAATATTCGTGTTACAACGCACATTGTTGTTTTGTGTAATTAAACTGTTTAAATTAATAGGCGTTTGTCAGCGACATCCGCTTAATAAGTTCACATCATTCATTTTACTTATGTAGTGTTTTTCGTCTAGAAAATTATTATTTATCTTTATAATTGCAATCAATGCACATAAACATAAAAAGCCTTCGACTTTTATTTAGCTTTATAGTGGGATAAATTCGCATTTCATGCCCTCAATGGATACCTTAAAAATAAGGGAAACAATAAGCTTTAAGATACTGGTTACGATAGTTATAAATTCTAATAAAACTCGAATTTTCCTCGCATTTGATCTGGGTTTTCTTTGAGATTATTGGCGAAATATTATACGGTTACATTTAATTTGCTTTCAATTGACTAAAGAATGAAAGTTCCTTATCAGTTTGTAAACCAATCCTAGAAACAGCTTCCTATCGTTTCTAAATCGGTTTTAAGGCGTATCATAATTTATAGGATACCTATGTATACATAGGATTTATTTTATATTTTAGAATTTTATTGTAGGAAAGATGTCAATGAAGGAGACGTGTTAGTGGTAATAAATGATGATATTAATTATATCGCATACAAAATATAATTTAAAAATCTCTGGAAACAGCTATCAAGTTTATACCTATTACAGACATTAATTTATTTAAATATTGAAAAAAAAATTAATTTATTATGATATAACTTTAGGGTTCTTTCTTTAGAAAAGAAAAAGTATATAACGAATATATAAAATATATATAGAGAATCGTAAGTCATTTGTCAACATTTTATACATTTAAATGAAATTTGTTACCGAAAAAAAAACAACGGAATCTGTTACTGATTTGTTACAACTACAAAATATGAAAAAAAAATATTGACATCGTATATTTAACTATGTAAGATGTAATCTATCATATTATTTCATTTTTATAAAACACAGTAATAAAAATAAAATAAAACAATAACTGAATAAAAATGAATATAAAATTGTCTTGTGCATTAACCCTTAACTGGTATCGGGGGTCACAAATCACCCCAAGCGAACACATATTCCATCATATCTTCCTAGTCTAACCATGCACACTCTTGCGCGTCTATGTAATCTCAGTACGTCGCGAGGTGCGGCGGGTGACGGACGTTCGTCGCTCTAATATTGCTGGAAGCGAAGGTACATACACTGCTGGGGTCAAAAATCACTCCCGACACCAAAAGTGTTAATTTTTTTGTAAAGGCATTTTGAAACATTTTTATATCTTTTTTAGGCAATAATCATCACGATGTCTGGTTTTTTAAATTTAAATCATATTGCGCAACTTTTTGGAAGATGAAGATAAAGAATCTGATTCAGAAACCGTCCAAAACACCACAACAACATTCTGTGACGATGAAGACATTAGTGATTGTGAGGAAGCGGAGGTAGTCAGCTGTTCTGAAGAAAGTACATTAGGTACAGATTTGCATTCTTCAAGTTCAAGCAGTGAGGAAAAGAAGAAACTATACAAACTCCTGGTTTTTATAGGGGTAAAAATAGATACAAGTGGTCTAAAAATCCACCTAGCTCGCGACAATATCATCACACAGCGTCCGGGCCTCGCAGGAGAAGCGCGTGAGAAAATGAATATGACGGAAACTGAATCCTGGCAATTGCTGATTCCTGATGATCTGATCGAAATTGTGTGTTTGCACACAAACGAAAAAATTACTGAATTTACTGAGAAGTATAGCAGCCAAGCATCGCATACTGATCACGTAAGTTTATTAGAAATGAAGGCATTTTTTGGACTTTTGCTACTTGCCGGTGTTTTCAAGTCCGGAAATGAGGATGTTGATAGTTTATGAGCTACAGGTGGCACAGGTTGCGATGTATTTAGAGTCACTATGTCTCTAAAGAGGTTCTTATTTATTTTATCAGCATTACGATTTGATGATGTATCGACAAGAAACGAAAGAAAAGAGACCGACAGGGCTGCGCTTATTTCTGAAATATTCACAATTCATTGAAACTGTAAAAAATTATGTGCTAAACACTTGACTGCGGATGAAATGTTATGCCCATTTAGAGATAGATGCCTTTTCCGAGTTTACATGAAATCCAAGCCAGCTAAATACGGCATAAAAGTGTTGTGTTTGTGCGACGCTAAAACACATTATTTATATAATTCGTTTATTTACACCGGAAAGACTGGAACAAACAAAAGAGATGGGATGTCTGTACCTACACAAATTGTTTTGAAATTGGCTGATCCTGTGAAGAAAACTCACAGAAATATTACAGGTGATAACTGGTTTTCATCGGTTGAACTGGTTGACAAATTGAAAGAAAATGGTTTGACGTATGTTGGAACTATGCGGAAAAACTACTTTTAACTGATTTTAATAATTATATCCTGGAGAGAATAAACGTGCAAAGAACGATTAGCACAAGAAAAGTGATACGTAACTTTTAAAATCCTTTTGATTATTACAGTGCCAATGAATTTAAAAGTCGCTATAGGTTTTCAAAAGATATCGTATTAAATATACTTCTGCTTCTAATAAATGCAGATCTTTTGAAAGTTACCAGTAGAGGCCTTCCAGTGCCTCCTATTTACCAGTTACTAGTGGCCTTAAGATTTTATTCATCTGGGAGTTTCCAGGTTTGTAATAATAGTTCAGTTAATCTACCTATCAATAGTTTCAAATCCACATTATTTTTTAATAATATTTATGCATATGACCTATAATAACAAAGGATATAATTCCTCTTAAAATTAACATTAAAAATAGATATACTTATAGGTAGTTACCTATGTAATTAAATACTAGTTCATCATGTAGTTTCATGGTAATTATATAAGTTATCTAAAGTAAGTACTAACACCATCATTTTTTCCAGATGATTACAGGAGACCTCATAAAAGTAAGCCAACCAATTGTATCAAGGATAGTGAGAAACGTATCATTTCTGTTTTGTCTAAAGATGCAGCGATTTGTGAAGTTTCCTAGCAATCTTGAGACAATCAAAGAACACTTTTACAGCATAGCAAGCTTTCCTGGTATTATCGGTGCCATTGATGGAACTCATATACCAATCCAAAGTCCTGGTGGTTCTTATGCGGAAGTATTCAGAAATCGTAAAAAATACTTCTCAATAAATGTACAGATTGTATGTGGGCCTGACCTAAAAATATATGACATTGTCGCTGATCGACCTGGTACATGACAACCGAATTTTCCAAGCTTCTGCGTTATAAAGAAAGATGGAACAAGGTGTCATTGATGGTATACTTTTAGGAGATAGTGGATATGGTTGTCAAAAATATTTACTGACACCACGTTTCTACAACCCGAAACAGTTTCAGAACAAAATTATAACAAGGCCCATATAAAAACAAGAAATACTGTAGAAAGAACAATAGGTGTCTGGAAGAGAATTTTTCCTTGCTTATCAAAAAAGTTGGCAACAAACAGTAGCAACTTCAGTTTTATATAATATTTGTAGATCTCATGGCATTGTTGAAGAGATAGATGATATTGGTTATACAACTACTCGACAAAACGGAAGTACACAATCATCCAACAGAGTAGGACTGTTATTTAGGAGATTATTTATAACACGCCATTTTTAATGTTTAGTTAAATTAAATAAAACGAATGTATTTCAATTTTCAAGTTGTTTTTTAATAGTTCTATTTCCATCTTAATTTTTTGTAATTGTAAATCATGATGTTGTTTTTCGAAGTCAATTAAATTTTCTTCTCGTTGAATTAGTATCCTCTCTCTTTTAAGCCTTAATGCATGCAATTCTGAATCTTGTTGCATATTTATAGTGCATCGCTTTATTCTTGCTTCCGTCTCACTGCAAAGTTTCTTAACACCTGTTCGACAAATAAAGTGCATATAAACAAGGTTCTTGCAATAGCAAGTGATTGATTATTTTATTACTAAATAGGAGCATCTGAGTTCAATCCCTGGCCACAGCTACTAAACTGACAAAATAAATAGTTACCTGTGGTTGTAGTAGATATTTCCTTTCTTTTTTTTGCTTGAGAGGGACCATTCATTACCTACTTCACTCATAAAATTAGTATCCACATTCGGAACTGTAACAAAAATACATTTTTGATGTAAGTATTGTACATAAAAAGCTTATATTACTACTTCAACATATTATGATAATAATAAAACATACAGACCCTCAATGTACCCGGCACAGTTTTCAGATTCATCGAAGTTGGTAACAATTTTTGTAGTAACATTTTCTGTCATTACTTCAGGATTCAAAGCTGAAATATAAAATAATGATTACTGGACATAATACACACAAAATGCTTTCATGTACATATTTTGCTCAACGACTACAAATTGCGAGGAATGCAAGTCGTTAGAGACAAACATAGGTATATAGATTCCTACAAATGGAGAACACCTATGCCCATCCCTTCAGGAAATATAATATTTATGTATATTGCCTTACCGTTGTTATTATTAGTTCCTTTTTTTACATCTACTTCACTTTGTGTCAAGTTATCATATCAAGTATCAATATATATAGTCATTGATAATAATTATAAATTTTACCAGGTAAATTAGGTATTCTGACCATTTATACTAACTTTCTATAGAATTGGAGTCAATAACCCCTGGAACAGTTAAATTTATAAATGGACAAATTGCATCCACAACATTATCTGATAATAAAGCACTTTCTGGTGGTCCTCCGCCTGTACGTCTCATATTAATTGATTCAAGAGAAAGCTCCTTCTTTCTTTGAGATTTTATATTTTCCCAACATCTTTTTAATTGTATGTGATTCCTAGGTGTAACATAGGACTGTGCATTATAGGCAATCGTCAGTTCATCCCAGGCCTTCTTCTTTAATTCAATGTTTTGAGCGTGTGTACGCTTGTCCTCAATAATGGGCCGCTCACGAACTAAAGCGACAATTAGTTCCCTTTCCGAAGAAGTAAATGGTAACTTCTTTGAACTGTAAGAAAACAACAAGTGTTATTATTTGCACGAAATTGACAACGAAACAAACAGAAAAATAAAATGCTGAGATGAGAACTTACCATATTTTAGGTGATTTCTCATTAATTATAGGCAAGCAACTCGTATTCATACTGAAAATTAAACGAAAAAGTAAACTATCTTTAGAATTCAAATGACAAAATAATATCTTGGTTGTTGAGTGACGTTTAACTGTCATTCAACTAGGGTGAAGTCGCGTTACAACGTTAACCAATCACGGCGCCTCATTCAATGCTATGTGTCCGCACAACAAAAAGTCCACTAAGTATTGTTTATGAAATGAACGGCCTGCCATGACGAACGCAGTGAGAAATATCTTACTTAGCATAGTGTTGCTTCCAACTTATATAGGTATTGTTTGTGAATACGGGTGTAAAACTTTAACTTTCTCTAAAACTTTAATTATACTGTTCTTTATTACAAACTTAACTCAAATATATTACTGTGTGATGTGGGCTACAACATTTCATGTTAACCCTTTTATGTTGCTCATTACAGTTGGCCTGGTTATTATATGTCTGTTTTTTCAAAGGCCTACCAATTTGAGACAAGCATTAAGAATTAGATCAAGTAGAGTGATAATAATGGTGATGATATTCGTAAAACAATGAAGCATAAAAATATTACATGATAAAAATGTAGACTCATTTTTCCTTCAACGGTGATGTATTTTGTCGTTAATAATTTAGTAGGTGATGAATACACAAAGTCCAAAAAGCTACTATTTGATATTCAGTTCATTAAAAAGCCACAAAAAAATTAAAACCTTTAAATATGGTTAAGTATATTTTCTCACTTATTAAGATTATAAGCTAATAATTTTTATTTTAGAAGGCTACTAACGGAACCCCAGTAGTCTCTGTTTCGTATATCAATTACGTACTGCCCGTTCACTGGAGCGACAGCGCGACTTATGATTGGAGTGCCCATGAGCTATCTAACAGGAAAGTCTAAATCTGACTTCATAAACCCCGACGTATTTTGTCCATACACGCAGTTTCCTACATAAATCGATACAGAAGAGCGCTTCTGTGTCAACCGAACTATGAGCATCTAACACTCAAGAAGTTTACATGGCGTTGGATGAAGCTTTGAAACATTTAAAATAAGTTATATAAAGATAATAATTAAAAATATAACAATATTGCTTTATTTTTATATACGTTTAGATGTAAACAATGTAATTAACATTGCTTAACAAAATTCTTAATTAAAAAGTAGGTAATGAAGACTCGCTATTCTTTTTCAAGACACCTCATTAATAAAAAAAAACAACCCTTAAAAAAGTTTTGGTGGTGTTTTCTTGTTTCTTTTCATATTTCCATATTTTCACCCTTTTTATGTAAAAGCAATATTTTTTATTTGGGTACAAAAAGAGATTATGGTGGAGGTCAACTGAGAGTCAAGCTCAGCTGGACTGCGTGCAAGCTCGGCTTTAAACGCAACAAGCCCAATCACATATGCGTATAAACCTCAAGTTGAAAGTTTTGCCGGTGATGACTTTTGGGGTTTAAACGGGGTACTTCTCTCCTATCCGAATAAGAAAACTACAAGCTTCAATTCACTAAGCGTACGATGAAAAGGGCTATGCTCAAAGTTTCACAGCGTATCAGCAAGCTGAAATGGCAATTGCCGCTTATATGTTGAAGAACCTACAACCGGTGGGGAGAACAGTTAAGCGACAGTAGCCTAATGGCAGGGCGCGGACCGCGAACTCAAAAAGGTCGTGGGTTCGAATCCGCTGTTCGACTACTGGCGTGAACCACTCGTAACACAAGCAATTTAAGCTTACCACGAGTGGTTAAGGGGAATATTAGTAATGTTTATAGCATTGTTAATATTATTTTTAAATTAAAAAAAAAAGAATGGTTCCCGAATATAAGACTCGTACTGGCAAGGGCAGTTTTTGGCAGTCGCCCACCAGCTGTAGTGATGACCTACGATCTAAACATGCAGATGCAGGTGGTTCAGGGTCCTACTTTGGGCCAGTCTATAGGGGAGGCTTACGTTTAGCAGTAAATGTGTGATGGGCTGAAATGTATATGCGTGCGCCTTGCGTGTGTGCTTGTGAACAATTTTTGCTATTAAAAACCTTGATATTACTAATGTACTAGGCTGGTAATTAAGCCATAAATGACTAAACGCAATGAATTAGCCTAAAAATAGCCTGTTCACTCTGACTTGACAAGAACCACGTTGAGATTGAATGAAAAGATAGAAGACCCATTTTCTTAGTAAAGAGGTGTTTCATTTCAGGTGCCTGGAGTCAGAAGTAACAACTTATTTATGTTTTGTTTCTTAGTCGAGGTTGCCTAGGTATTCATGGACCACTACATCCAACTAACATCGGGTAAACTGTGCTCTCGTTTGTCACGATTAAGCTTATGAAAATTTTCTGTTGTAGTTAACCAGGTATGATCATGTACAAAATAATCCATAAGGTTGTAATCGCCTTCGATAATGAAAATAATGAAAAAAATAATATTTAACTGCAAATTGGCACGGCAGAATTCTAAAGCGATTGAATATTATTATCTTGCGATTGCGGTGGAGTTCTAGAAATGAAGTCAATTAAGGCTTTCAATAGAATTTTTCCGCTCTCAAGAAAATAAATGTTCTCTACATTTTCTATGTTGTTGCTTCAAACTGGTTATTAGGAAATATTATGTTCTTAACTGCTTTTATTAACATTAAAATAGTTTGGTGATCGCAGTGTCAGACGTTTCTTCCCGTGTTAATATGTGATGAGAAAATATTTATAGAATTATAATATAGCAGTGTTTATTTCATAACTGCAAATCTCAAATATGAAACAAATATCTAATTAATTATTGATGTCTCTAAGGGTCCACTTTCAGGTACAAGTGTTACTTTGCAATTCAAATTCGAATTGCAGAGCCAGGCTATGGCTGGGAGACGATATTATTCAAAGAGTATTAAATCGATGAAATAAAGCTTAAGTAAAGTAAATTCATAATTCACTGTTTGCAGCAGATTTCGTTATCTTTTAATATAGTTTATTAAGTAACTAGCTGTTACCCGCGGCTTCGCCCGCATGGTTACTGGGAAATGGACTATCCATTGCTTTTTTAATTGAAAGAAAACTGAGTTTTATAGATTTGTCAGAGATGCAGCCATTAAAAGGAAACTGAGCAAATTGATTCGTCAGCCTATTTAAATGTTTTGAAACGCAGTGTATAGGAAAGCATGAAAATAGCCTGTTTATTCCAAATAGAAATGGGATATTTTTTTTAATTAAAGAAAACTGAGCATAATTATCCGTCAGGGATACAGACTTTTGAAAAGAAACTGAGCTAAATTGATTCGTCAGAGATGCAGTTTTCTGAATTGAAAGGAAACTGAGCCAAATAAAAGATCCGTCAGAGATGCAGCCTTTTGAGTTGAAAGGAAACTGAGCTTAATAGGTCCGTCAGAGGTGCAGCATTTGGAATTGAAAATAAAGTGAGCTAAATAGGAAATTTTGAATTGAAAGGGAAGATCTGTGGGAATTCTGATTAATTGACTGTGGGAATTTTTGAAAAAAAAAATTTACTGAGCACTATTTTAAGACGCTACTGTACACAATGTTATATGTTTTTCCATTCGGGGAAAGAATGTGGAGATTCTGGGCATTTGACACACGCGAACATGCTACATACAGCTGACCATGAGAGAAGCACGGTTTTTCTAAGTTGACCCCCGCTACCTGTAACGTTTGCCCCTGCGCTTTATGCTAATGGTATTACTTTTAGGCGTTTTGTACGCTTTATGTACAAAACGAAGTCAGAAACTTAGTTAAAGTTGCTTAATAATAATTTGTGATGTCTTTAGGCCCTAACTGTGATCTTAAATTCGTTAGTTTCAATTGTAAATCGGCTAAACGTTCGTTAGATGACATCCGTGATATTTGTGAAGTTTCTGATTTAGTAGCTCTTCAGGGAACGTGGCTGTTGCCCCATGATATACCAATGTTAGGAACTATATCTAAAAATTTTGAATATAGTGGTAAGTCTGCTGTGGACACGACTGCAGGTTTATTAGTTGGAGACCTCATGGGGGAGTAGCTATTCTATGGAGGAAGAGTATTTTTAATAAGGTTACAGTCTTAGAATGTAAAAGTACCCGGCTGGCTGCAATCCGGGCTACATTACAAGATCGCTCTATTATTGTTTTATGGTGTATATGCAAACCGACTCTTTAGATAACTTGCCAATTTTCACTGAAGTGTTAGGTGAAATAAGTGCAATTGTCGCAAGCGGAGATGTTGAGAGTATATTTGTCTTAGGTGATTTTAATGCTCATCCTAATGAGATGTTTTTTAAAGAACTAAACAATTTCTGTTCTGATCAGTCATGGGTTTGTGCCGACGTAAAAAAGCTAGGATTGCAGTCCGATACTTACACGTTTGTTAGTGAGGTCCACGGATGCAGACGTTGGCTTGATCATTGCATTGTGTCAATGTCAGCTGCGCAAGCCCTTGTTAATGTGAGTGTCATAGAGGATGTTTTTGTGTCAGACCATTTACCGCTACTTATTGAATGCAATTTAAATGTAGTAACGCCCAAAGTAGTGTTGTCAAGCATACCACGTAGCTCAGTTATATGGGGTGAGAGAAGTGAATCTCAAATAAATAATTACCGTGACTTATGTGACAAAAGGCTTCAGAATATAGATTTCCCCAGTGAGTTTACCGAGTGCAGTCATGGTTCGTGTAATCTGAATGAGCATAGAGCTGTGTTGAACAGATTCTATGAAAACATTGTACAAATATTGTGTAGCGCAGCTAAGGAGACTTGTGGGGAGCGCTGCTGTAAATATGATCAGAGAAAACATCTATGTGGCTGGAACAAGCATGTTCGTGCAGCTCATGCGGAGGCCAGGCTTAAGTTCAAAGTTTGGGTTCTATACAATCGACCTACCTCGGGCATTTTTTACGAAGAAATGTACGAGAGATTTTTAAAAGTCGCCTGAAATGGTGCCAGAATAATCAGGAACAATTAAAAATGGATATTTTGGCTAAACATAGAGCAGCTAAAAATTTTCATAAATTTTGGCAAGCTACAGGAAGGCAAGAGGTTAGGCCTGGTCTCCCAGTGAGTGTGGGCGGGATTAATGACCCTACTGATATAGCTAATACGTTTAGAGATCATTTCAGGGTGCGCTCGCCACATGGCTCCTCGACCGCGTCTAGTAATTCTATGCCCGGTTGCTTAGGGGGTGGACCGCCAGTACATATCACTGCAAAGCAAATTAGGCATATATTAAATAAGTTGACTGGTGGAAAATCTCCAGGGCACGATGGACTTAGTGTTGAACACGTGAGGTATGCGGGGGTTCACTTGCCGAGGGTACTGTCTATGTTTTTTACACTATGCATAAGTCATTCACACTTGCCACATGACCTAATGAAAACCGTAGTGGTGCCAATTGTGAAGAACAGGACAGGAGATGTCTCGGACATGGGGAACTACCGCCCCATCTCATTAGCAACAACCATTGCTAAGATACTGGACGGTCTGCTCGACTCTTGCTTGCAAAGTTATTTAAATATCCATGACGCCCAGTTCGGGTTTCGATCCGGACTATCCACGGAAAGCGCCATCGTAAGTGTCAAGCATACCGTCCGTTATTACACCGATCGCGGAACCCCGGTATATGCCTGTTTCCTGGACCTCTCTAAGGCTTTTGACCTTGTGTCATACAACTTGCTTTGGAGGAAGCTTGGTGATAGGGGTGTACCGGTTGGAGTTCTAAATATATTAAAGTATTGGTATGCCAATCAGACCAAATTTGTAAGATGGGCAGACTCTCTTTCGGAATCGTATGTGTTGGAGTGCGGGGTGAGACAGGGGGGATTGACGTCTCCTGGGCTCTTCAACGTATATCTAAACGATCTCATCGTGAGGCTGAGTAGCATGCGTGTTGGGTGTCGGATTGATGGCGTCAGTATAAACAGCATAAGCTACGCAGACGATATGGTGCTGCTTAGCCCCACGGTCGGTGGTCTGAGGGAGATGCTGAATGTCTGTGAGAAGTATGCTGCTAGGCACGGGCTTACATACAATGTAAAAAAGACAGCCTCTTTGAGGCTGCTGGTAAATGTCCCAATAATTCAACAAATATTACCCTTAATGGCGTGAACATCAAACGTGTGACTGAGTTTAAATATCTGGGGCATGTCATTACTAGCAGCCTCAAAGACGATGATGATATTGAAAGGGAGCGAAGGGCTCTGGCGGTTAGAGGTAACATGTTGACTCGCAGATTTTCTCGCTGTACAGAAGAGGTTAAAGTGACGCTATTTAAGGCATACTGCCAAAGCATGTACACGGGAAATCTGTGGGTCAAGCATACCAAGAAATCGCTAGACACTCTTCGAATCCAGTACAACAATGTCTTCAGGATGATGTTGGGCCTGCCGCGGTTTTGCAGTGCATCTGATGGCTTCGATGCCATCATTCGTAAAAAAACGAGCTCCCTGATTAGCAGAGTGAGGAACAGTTCCAATAGCATCCTGAAGACATTAGCAAACCGATATACATCTCCAATTTGGAAGTGCTTTGTGCAAAGAGTGACGATCACGGGAACATACCCTTTCCCCTGATGGTCACTTATGGTAACAAATATAATTGTAGATAATTAATTTATTATTATTATTTTAATGAGTATAATTTTTAATCCCAATTAATAAAATACTAACATATTTTGTAAGCCATTTTTACTAACACAATATGGATGTACAAGTTGTCCGAAATAAATGATTTATTATTATTATTATTATGTGTGGGGTATCTATATAGTTTTCTCATCTGGTTGGGATGTATAAATATATAATTATAAACGAAAATGAAAAGACAAATATACAAAAATATCAATAAAATAAAATAAATACGAAAATACATAAATAAATAAAAGCCCAACCAGATGGAAGCCCTCGGCAGGGGAGACTAAACGGCCGAGGGTTAGGGGGAAAGGGAAAGAAACCGGCGGACGATGCGGGCGGTATCGAGGAGCACCGCCTTCTGCATTTGAGCCTGGAGCGGTCCGCCACGTAGTCCCAGCCGCCTCAGATGACCCGAGAGGCTGACTGGGATTAGCCCGTTTGCAGAGACGACTACAGGAATAATTTCGGTCGGCAGACCACCCCACATGTCGGTCACCTCGTGAGCCAGGTCCAGATATTTTGTTTGCTTATCTGTTTCGGCTTTCACGAGGTTCTCGTCACACGGAATGGTAATGTCGACCAAAAATATCCTTGACTGTGCCCGGTCCATCAGCACAATATCAGGCTTATTCGCAAGAATAGTCCTGTCTGTGATGATGGCCCGGTCCCAATAGAGCCTGGCGCGATCATTTTCGAGCACGGCTTCCGGCAAGTACTTGTAATACGGCAACTTCCGATCCACGAAACCGTATTTCAGAGCGAGCTCCTGGTGTAGAATTCTGGCTACTAGGTTGTGCCTGTGCAAGTACTCAGAGTTAGAAAGCGCCGAACAACCGGAGATGACATGCCTAAGTGACTCACCGGGATGGCGACAAGCTCGACAGATGTCGATGGTGCCATCCTTTAGGATGTATCTCCGATAGTTGTTGGTCTTAATAACCTGATCCTGTATTGCACAGACAAAACCCTCGGTTTCCCCGAAGAGGTCACCAAAGCGTAGCCAGTGGAGAGAGGTTACTGTGTCTACGAAAGGCCCATGTAGAGACTTGTAGAACCTCCCGTGGAGCTCCTTCTCCTTCCATACGGTCTCCCGGTCGGAAATTGTCTGCACTGCCGGGTCTTGCCATTGCTCGTTGGCTAAGGATAGAGGGGTAAGTCCTTTATCACAAGAAATGACGTCCTTATAGAATGGATCATCCGATCTCGCCAGGAAGTAATTACGGAGGCTGCACACTTCGCGATTATGCATGGTGAGCGCGCTCAAGAAGCCACGCCCACCATGCTTTCGCGGCAAGTACAGCCTCATTACCGACGATCTCGGATGATGCATCCTGTGGGACGTCATGGTAGTGCGGACTTTTCTATCCAGGGCGTTAAGTTCAGTCTGAGTCCACCTGAGTATGCCAAAGGTATACATGAGGACAGGCATGACCCAGCCGTTATATGCTTGTGTCTTATTCACACCGGACAAAAGGCTGTTAAGCACTTTGGTCAAGCGTGCATAAAACACGTCGCAAACTGACTGTTTCATACCAGCCTCATCGATACCAATGTTCTGTGACATACCCAGGTATCGGTATGTTTCAGACTCGGAAAGGGTCCTTAAGTTGACGGGCATAGATAAGTCTATGCCCTCAGAGTTAGCAACCCTACCCCTCTCAACATGGAGGACCACACACTTATCCGTCCCCAGCTCCATTCCAATGGAATTGCTAAATTCACAAGTGATGTTTAGCAGTTCCATAAGATGGGAGCGACTGGAGGCGAATAACTTGAGGTCATCCATATAGAAAAGGTGGGTCACTTTTGTCCCTCCTTTCCGTAGCTGAAATCCCCTCCCGGAGCCCTCCAGTAAGGTACTGAGAGGGTTCAGAGAGAGGCAGAACCATTTTGGACTCAGACAATCGCCCTGGAAGATACCCCTTCTTATCCTTATGTGGTTCTCCGCAGCCATCATCCGCTCGCCCAGATGACAAAGGATCGTACTCCACTGCCCCATACACTGCTCGAGGAAGTCTCTAACTGTACAGTCTATCTTGTACAGTTCGAGGACTCTCTTTAGCCATGTATGGGGCACCGAGTCGAATGCCTTTCTGTAGTCTATCCAGGCGGCGGAGAAGTTCCGACGGTTGCGTTTCACCACTTTGCCAATGACCGCGTCAATGAGGAGTGGTTCCTTGGTTCCACGACCGCCGCCCCCGACATCCATTTTGAGCGCGCGACATCACCTGATTTGAGTCCAGGTGACGAGTGATTCTCGCGCTCAAAATGGATGTTAGTGTCTTATATATGGTCGGTAGACATGTGATGGGGCGGTATTTGCTCGGGTCTGTGGTACTCTGGCCTTTAGGAGCCAAATGGGTGATCCCAGTAGTGAAGAGGCTCGGGAGCGACTTCTGGTTGAGAACCTCTTGAAACTGTCGGGCGAGCACAGTGTGACACACCACGAACCCCTTCAGCCAGTAGTGATGCAGCCCGTCGAGTCCCGGACTTTTCCAGTTCGGGGCCCTACGGACCGCCTCAGCTACGTCATCCGGCGTTATGGTGACGGGGTCCATGGGCGTAATACCCGCACACTGACTCGCCACAACTTTCGTCCAAGGGCCCTCGTTGTGGTTTACGGGCTCTGACCACAGGCTGCGCCAGAACGCGACCGTGTCGGCCTGATTCGGTACTGGGCCCGTTCCACTTACCATTGGTCGCTCCAATGATTTATAGAGCCTCTTCTGATCACTCTGGAAGAGACGATTCTGGTTGAACCGTGTCGACCTCTCGGTATATCGCCGAATTCGCTTTCCCCAAGCAGCGATTCTCTGCTTCAGGTCGTCTATGCGCTCCGTCAGTTTTTGCATTATATCCGGCTGGGACAAACTAACATTTGTCCCAGCAAACGCCATCCTGACGGTGCGCACAATCCTTGGCCTGGTATTGCCTGACCTGAAGCATATCAGTCTGCCGATGAGGGCCCTAGTCTTTGCGATACGTTCTTCAATTCTTGTTCTCCAGGCTGGGATAGCACTACTTTGTCCAGTAGTGCGTCCAGCCGTGGAAAGTTTGGCGCCTATAATACGGCAGACTACCAGTGCGGCGCCAAAGAGAATTGAGTCCGTCTCGCAAAGGTCCCGGCTGGCTTCCAAATAGGTCACCAGCATTGGGTTCAGAGCCCTCACGACAGCCCGATTCCGCTTGCTTAGGGCTATGCGGGGAAGTCGCGGTCGATTTTCGAGAGGCGTACTGCGCGTTTCCATAATCGCCTCTTCCAATGTACTCCTCATTTGCTCTATTTCTAGTTCCTGGGTGAATGTTCCTTCATCATTTGAATCAGCAACCACTGGGGTATTCTCGGCGGCATCCACGTGTGCGTGTTGTTCTGCAACTTGTGGCACCGCACCCTCAGTCGTAACGTTTTCATTTGATGAGGGAACAGCCTCACGTCGTAGCCGTTCGAGTTCGGCGCCATCAAATATATTTGAGCGTAAGATATACCGAACTCGGTCTGCCAGGTTTTGCTCGGTGACAGTAATAGATGGCTCCAGCTCAGTAAAAAAACGATGCATCCTAGCCCGATACGCGAAACCTCCAATTTCTCCCCCTTTCGCCCTAAAATACGCCCGCAATGCGTTTGAATTCATATTGATGGTCCATCGCATGCGGCGTACTCCACCAGTGGCGGGTGCCGATTGCTGGGCCTGCGAAGACCCTGCCGACACCAAGCAAGCTGGTGGGGATGATGGATGCGAGGGGCTGCTGGGTGGTCGTGCAGCACCTCGCGCTCGGCTGGCGGTTCGCATGCTGTCGCGTCCAGCGCCAGCTCCAGACGCGCCCTGACGACCTCCAGGCAGCGGCCCTTTGCGTAATCTTCTATGTTCCATCATCCATACAGGGCGTCATTTAACGGGAGACGCCCAGACCCGGCGCCGTTTCATGGTGAGGCCATATGCACAAGCGGGCCCTTGCACCATCAATTTTTGCCGAGGCACGGCGCTCACACCTCTTGGCAAGGTGCTGACTGACTGCGCGGACGTAGCGGTTTTGTCACATAACCGTCACATCAACGGGCGATGGGGTCGTCACTTCCCTACGCCCTATTATTAGCCCCATTATTATTATTATTATTATTTATTAATTGTCATTGCAAAACTGAGCTTAATAGAGAATTGCAACCTTTTGAATTGAAAAGGAAGATCTGTGGAAATTATAGGGATCCGTGATATAAAAACATTTTCACCTTTTCCTACGCCTGTCAAAATTGTAGCACCGATTATGTTCCGTCCAAGATGTGTCACACGCAGTCTTGTCCCGTTACATAACCGAGGAGCATCTAAATTTCGCATTAGCATGACTGGGGCGCCTAATTTTAATTGAAGCTTATGTGAGGGCACACCTGACAACTCTAGAGAATTTAGAAACTCTACGGGATATGAAGTGCTCTATTCTGTGTCCATAACTGTGTCTACTGACAAATACTCTGTTATTTCTCCTGCTACTTCACTTAATATATCTGAATTTATTTTGTTAACGCTCTCATTTTTTGGTGCAAGAATCGCCCTTTCACATAACCATTTGTCTTAATGCGTGTTGTTCGTTAAATCTGAATTAATTCGGAATGACTCTGTACAAAATTACAAAAATCTCTCGTCAATTTAACGCAGCCCTCAGCATCCGTTTCCAACCGCCCATCGCCAATTTTTAATAGTGTGTCAGCATAGTTTCCAGCATTGATATCATTATACAAATGCACTCTCATATTCATAGTTAAACTGAATTTTGTCACCTTGTTCCATAAAATAGACGACTTGAGGCATGCTTTGATTTCATCTACAGGTGTGCCCTTTTGAATGACAGGTAAAGTTTGGCGAAAGTCACCAGTCAGTAAAACCGCCATTCCTCACATTACATCGGTATTGCTGCACAAATCCTGGAGCATTCGATTTAGTGCTTCTACAGCTTTTTTTATTCGACATTGTACTTTCGTCGCACATTAAAAGTTTGCATTGTCGTAGCATTATACCTCGTGCAGTATTTTTGCTAAAGTTGCAGATCGGCGATTCTCCCTGGGCTAGATTTAGAGGGAGTTTTAAAACAGAATCTGCAGTGCAGGCGGCATGTTTCTATCTTTTCGTACTTGCGCTAATAATAAATTTAACAAAAATGTCTTCCCAGTTCCTTCAGGGGCATCTAGAAAGAAAAGTGCATCATTTCCAGATTCAATTTGTCCTAATACTTTGTCAAAAACTCGTTTTTGTTCGGGAAGCAAGTGGGGTACAAATTCGGTTACTTGCTGCTGCAAAGCTGGTATATTGTAGTTTGTTTCGCGTATAATTTCATTACTTAGTTCATTTTCGGTTGTTCGCTGAGGGCTTATCATTCCAAAGTCGCTTAATTTTTTGCCTACCATTTCCATTACTTTCTTCAATTTTTCCAAGTGCTTCATTATAAATGTGTTCATTGTATGTCATGTTCGCGTGTGTTTGCTGTAACCTTCGCAAAATATCTTTCGCCATGTACTCTTTATATGTGTCCCACAATTCATGTGCATTAGATAGCCCGCAAGATGATATGAGAGTTGCATAAAGATCCCTAATTTTAGCTGGTGACTGGCACTGCACAGCTTCGTCCATGGTTTCATCCCAGTGATTATCTTTTTTCTAAAAGATGCAGAGCTTCACATGCTTCTCTATAAGTTGCGCACTCCTGGCCGTTGACAATTTTAAGTTCTTTATATCCTGTAGGACCCCGAACATGGTGCAGCAGCAATCGTAACCAGAAACATTCAAAATTAGTTACATGGACGGTATACGACCAAGGGCACCTGATGACTTTACACCAGGCCAATTTGCAACAGGCGTGCCTTGAATACGGCGTTTCCACTCCTTCTTAGATGTGTTCCAAGTATAATAGAGGAGGACTTCAGAATATAACAACGTTTATGCAAAGGCGTCGATTTGACAAAGTTGAAAGGAGGCTGTTAGTGTAGTTTTTGGCGGTGATGCAATTCTTTCTTGGAAATTTCTTTCGGTGAAATATACACTCTCCCAATTTTCTAAGTGCATAGCAAACAGGTGAGTAACTGTTGGGTGCCTTTCGTGTAAAAGGGTAGCCAAGGAGACGCCACGCTGCCTCGTTACTGCTGACATAACGCCCTGCTTGAGTGGTCTGTACTTCATAAACGGGATTTGTCTCACCTTCATTCCTGAGATTAAATATTGCTTGGTCGCTTCTTTATTTATGTACTTACAGATATACTTGATTGCGCCGACAGAGCTGCATGCCTCTACATTAATGTGGGCATTAAACATTTTACATAGAATGGGCGAATACGGGACAATCCAGCTGTTATCTAAGGTTTCGAACGCTCCAGAGCGAGATTTGATTGTAACTTTCCTGCCACCATCTTCGGGAGCTCTGCGTCTGTATAAAGGGTAGCCATTGTCATTGTGCATTGTTTCTTTTAATAGCTGTGTAGGGATTTTTTTGTACATTTTCCTTCTTTCATACATGGCGATATTGTATTTCGTGCTCCACATGGACCGTGAATCATATTTCGGACGATAGTATCATACAATTATTTATCTTGCTCAGGATCCGGAATCTCGGCGCTTATTATGTAGTCATGGCATGAGGTAATCCTCTTTTTGCCATTCCTCCGAAAATTTTCCCTTTGTTAATTACATACAATAATTTTTGTACTTTTAATCTAAATACTCTAGCATTTTACCTAAATCTTTACTTTAACATTGGCGTCGCTAGAAATTGCACCTTGTAAATGTATATAATTCTCAACGCGCAGCTTTCTTTGATTTAAAGATATAAAACGGAGACATTTACTTTCTACCTTCACATACATGTCTACCAAAAATTGATGAAAAAATTGCCTACACCGGGCTAAGAGGTTAAAATCATTTTCTCGCAACATCATATGATACGCATAAAAATCCATACATGATACTTTTTTGTTCGGAGTAGGCTCCTTTGTGACCAGTTTAATGAGTGGAATTTGAAAATGATAACCCTCTTGTCCTTTGCAATAAATCAATGAGTATTGCAGAGCGTCATAAAACTTGTGTGTATCGGCTACCCGTTGCAACGTATCATCACGTGCTCGCAGACAATGTCTGGTGAAGAAAATTGATCACCACTAATTACGGCTATCTCGTTTATCAAAGGTGCATTGTAGCGCCTTTCATGCTCTCCTCGAGGGGTCCGATCTGCGTGAATGAGGACTTTATAATCCTCTTCAGGTAGGTTTTCTAAAGCAGTTTTAAATGTTTTGACTAAAATGTTACGTTCATGCAAGAATCTTTAAATTTTGAACACTGTGTCTCTCTCAACTCCCTGGATAAATTGGCAGCGACGGTCTACCTCAATTTCTTCGTCACCCATAAAATATACTTGTAAAAATTTATGCTGTTCGTTTTCAGCTGGAAAAAGTGAACCTATTTTATGATAAATTTGCCTATTTTATGATAAATGGCGAAAATCCCGGCATTATTATTTCCCGGTCAACTCCGAAGGACGTCATTTGAAAGCATAACTCATGCTTTTTCCTGATCCTGTTTAAAAAGCGCCGTGACTCATTAGCATCATATAAAAAGAGAGTTTTCAAAGGTTCTTCTGGTTCCCCAAGTAATGGAAGAAACACTTTGACATTGGAACAGCACATGCTTGCGGTCTCATCTTTCCATTTTAAAGCGCTGCAAAATCGACACGCCTTGTCCATCAGTCCAATAACAACTAACCTATGATTTTTATAATCAATCAACGGATCATAATCGAATGCCGCGTTATTAAAAACCGACCAATTGTTTCTTTGAAAATTTTGTCGACGTTCAGCTTGGAGCTGTGCATTTTCATCTCTTTGCGCCTGTGTCTGTTCTGGTGTTTCAGATGTCCTTATAGTAGATTGACGTTCAGCTTGCTCAATGAGTCTGTGTTGAGTTTCATCAGGTGTTTCCGCGGCTCTTAAGGCGGCCTGACGTTCCGCTTGTTCGAATAGCCTTAGCTGACTTTGAGCAGGTGTTTCAGTATCTCTTAAAGTAGATTGACGCTCTGCCTGTTTAAGACGCCTTTGCTGACTTTGATCAGGTGTTTCAGTAGCTCTTAAAGTAGCTTGACGCTCTGCCTCTTTAAGACGCCTTTGCTGACTTTGAGAAGGTGTTTTAGTAGCTCTTAAAGTAGCTTGACGCTCTGCCTGTTCAAGACGCCTTTGCTGACTTTAAGAAGGTGTTTCGGAAGCTCCTAAATCAGCCTGACGCCCTGTCTGTTCAAAACGCCTTTGCTGACGTTGAGAAGGTGTCTCAGATGCTCTAAAAGTTTCCTGACGCTCTGCTTGTTCCTGCCTTCTCAGTTCAGCATCTTCTAAAGATTTTAGCGATCGAGCTAATCTTTTCGCTTGTCTTTGAGAAGATACTCTTGAAAGGCTGGACTTAAGTTTGCGAGGCATTGTGAAGTAACAAAAAACCTATTTATAAAAAAACGTTAAAATACCTAAAAGGAATTAAATTTCCTTTTAAATATTTTTTAAAATCAAAACAACAAAACCAATTCAAGACACAACACGAATTCGAAAACGATAGCCAAAAAAAATCGAATCAACTTAAACCAAATCGCAGAAAACCGAAATCGAAAGCAGTAGTCAATATAAATATAACCAACGAAAAAAGAAGTAAGGTACCGTATACACTATGTATACTATTAATATTCCTTTGAAATATTGTTAAACAACCTAAAACAACGAAAACCAATTCACGATTCGACGAAATCCAAAAATGAAAGCCAATATAAATCTGAATGGATATGTATAAAGGAATACCAACCAAATCAACAAAACCGATCCAAGAAAATACACAAATACGAAAATGAAAGCCAATAT